ACGATACTTACGTGGTAATCGCGTGTAGCGATCAAACTCGCTCGCCCGGACGGAACGGTATGCTGGCTTTCGTGAAACTTAAAAGTCCCTCGTTTGACCGGAGATAATTAAATGTCTATCGGGAATTCGTCGGTACGGCCAACAGTCTGACCATTGAGAGGTGATTGAACCACTGCTACGCTCTCTCTCTTTCCCTCTCTATCTTTCTCTCGCTCGCCCCATCCAGAGTCACAGGTGTCTGGAAACGGCAGCTCCATTCTATCATCGTGCGACCGAAGTGCTTCTACGTTCCGGATCTTATCGTCGTGTACTTAATTAATCACGCGGCATCACTGATACTCCGCTAAATCCCACCCGCGACGCTTGTCCTATTTTTTTCCGACGAGGCCGGCTCGAGATGTAAATCTGTTCCTGACTTGCATTTGTCATCGGTACATTCGACCGCGCCTTTTGATTGATCTTGAGATGTCTCTCGAAGATGACGGCTTTTATAATGGATGTCCACTTGAATCATACTTATTCGTGTCAGGCATCTAGCGTATAAATTATACAAACGTAAAAGGCATTGTAATGCGTGCGAAGAAATTTTTTTGTCCGACATCGATTAATTCGACAAAATTCGTTGTTACAATAAAACGTAGAAATATCCCAGTAACACCAGCTAAAAGTAACATTATATCAATGTTATAATTTCCCATTCAATAATATATTCAATAATATAACTGTTATATACAACACTCCCATTCAATAATATATTCAATAATATAACTGTTATATACAACACATGTTATATCGCACTTACAATGTTGAGTGAGAAATGATAACATCGATGTAACGTTACTATTATTTGGTGTTTGTTGGGATTAGTCTTAAATATAATGTCAATTTTGAAACTCTGTTTATATTCAAAGAGATTTATATTTCATTGATATCGTGTGATACATCATGTAGTTAATTATTTTTATTTTAACCATAGTAACGTTTTAGCATAATTCCGTCGGAGGAATCATTTATTACTAAGTACTCGCGTATTCAGAATTTCTCTGCGTCAATAAGGGTGAATAGTGGCGAACAGTCGACAGGGAAAAATTGTGACAGTTCAAGGGATGGTAAGTTCCTTTCAATCTTTCAAAAGATCTAAGACCAGCGGTCCCAACACCGAAAGGTTCACGAAAAGTTCCATATCTCGTCTTTAGTGCTCATATGCGACGTTTCGCGAGAGGATGACACAGTCGGGATGCGCATTGCTCAGAGTTTCTTCACGTACGGACTATCCCGGAAATCGCGCGTTTTCCTCTTTCGCGCAGATACAGATTCTTTCAATGTTAAAAATAAAACTTGATTTTTAAACATTTTATATTTTGATCGCTATGTCGGGATGAAATTAAGTAACAAATTAAACTGCAGTCCATTTAAAATCAATTTTTAATTAAACAATTCTCGCGTTTACACAGTGTATGGCAAAATTGGTCGCGTGAGGCCATTATGACCCCATTAAGTATTTTACTATATTATTAAATTATAAATAACAATCTCGCATGTTTCGTGGTTTAAACAAGTTATGTAAAAAATATTATACATATATTGTCGAAATACGCACTATGTGTCGGTAATTTAATTGTGATATCGAAAGCTTTTCTTTATTTTGTGGCAATTTATCGTTTTTTTTTAATAGAATTAGCTGTTTATAATTGCATCTAGAAGAGAATATTTTGTGTTGTGTGCATGCGTATGTACAATCTCATTGCGTTACTATCGGTATTATTTCACTGAATTTACATATCGATTATTGAGGTTCCATTTACTTTCGCATTCGCTCTTCGATATCGCCGCAATGGAAAGTTCTCTTTGGAGCATTTCCAATTTCTTTGAAAAACAATTCCCAAAGTTGCTATCGTGAAATGCTTGATGGATATATGAGGTGCCCCAGTCGCGTTCCCTGTCTACCACAGATACTAAGGACCAAATTAAGAAGAATGGAATTTCTCCCAACATTTCGAATCGCTACTTTTTGAATTATAAGTTATCGAGGTTAACAATAGATTGTGATGAATAAAGTTTCGGAGTGGAAATTCGCCTGTGACGCGAAGCCCTGAAATTTATTTGATTTCCAGCAGATTAAACCTCCGTAGAATTTTATTCTGATTCGCGTTTTAACTTTAACTCAAGACTGATCGAAATGAATGTAACACTGTGTAGTATTGTGAGTCCACGAAAAAGGATGTGGCAGTCGTTTGAGTTCTCGCGTATTTTGAAATACCTGGAGTGTAAAACGAAAAGAGTATTTTCCTCTAACGTCTATATAGCACGGAAAGAAAAACATTGCAATTCATTGCTATTCAAACGTTTCCATACTCACGTAGCTTGCAAAATACACACCGGGAGAATAAAATATACTGACAAGACCGTGGAATAGGGAGATCGACGTTTCGCCCACTTTCGCTAACAAAAATCGACTTTAAATTCGCCAGAAGAGTGTTCGCGCTTGAGAAAACGTGCATTGCGGATATCACGTACAATGAAGGGGAGGAAATTATCACGAGCGAACACGAGGCGACGCGAGGTCGTGCACAATGGTGCATGAGAGGGATTTCGTGGATAGGAAAACTTGTAGCTCCTTTCTCATTATACTAGACAAGTAATAAGGTACGCGTGTAAAATATCAATACAAGAAACGGCTTATGATTTTTCTCGAGAACCAAAAAACTACTGCGATGATATTTTAATTCGTATTCTCAATTTATTTTATCGCGAGGAATTATCTCCGGAGGAGATTCTGGTAACTTTGCTGTAGCAACAACATGTTTAATTATTGATCATTGATAGAAAATTATAATTATTTTTTATTTCCAGCAGATTAAATCTCCGCCAGCCAAATTTTATAGTAGTAGTAATATATATGTAAAGCTATTATCACTGACATTACAGCAACATTTATTAGAAAAATAACTATTTTTATGTTTAAAATCAAAAAGTGGTTGGCATCGAAAATATCTATAACTTTCTTTCTAACGATTGCGTCTTTAATGCTAAAAAGCGGTGGTAAAATATAAAAGTCTTTATTAATCAGCCGTCACCGAGTGATTGGCAAATATATTAGAATCAGAGGTATATATTGTAGTTAAAGTGTATCTCGACGTGGCTAATTAAATACTATTATTATCGCAACGTGTGCACGCATAAGACACTTACAACAGTCAGATGTGTCCTCTTCGTAACGTTGCGCTTTAAACGTAACAATACATTCGTAACTCGAAAATTAAACATTAAACATTCTCTCGGAATTGTTTTTACTCCCGAAAGAAACAGTTAAAAGCGATCGTTACAATGCGACGGTGAAATTACCGGAGAATCGCCGCTTCCTCGCCGGTTGTGCTGTAATTTACAATGTGCAACACGAATTACGCTCACACCTTTACGTGCAATCAGATAGAATATCATTGTTCTCCCAGGTCGTGCAAATTCCGCACTGTGCGACGATGAGCGGCCAGGTTGCGGGCGGCCAGCGCAGCAGGGTGCGATCTCATTCGGGCTCGCACGGCCGGCGTCGTCGCCGCTCGGCCGCCGAACAACCGAGAGCGGCGGGCTTGTCGAGCGCTCGCACCACTGCGCCCGCGTCCGCCCGCACGCGCGCCGGTTCTTCTCCTATCGGTCCTGTGTCACGTCAGGCTCACCCTCATCTCGCCCCTCGTGGTGATCGGACGTGAGCGGAGGATCCTCGTGACAAGCGATATCACAACGACTGAAAATAGATCTCGCTGCGGCGATGAGTGTTATCGCCGGAGGGTCGGAGGGCAGGAGGGTGGTGCTGGTGATCCGCCGGACACATTGATGTTTTGCGCGAACCTGTGGGACCTTGCGATTTCCGATTCGTGCGATCGCACACGATACCGATGACGGTCTTTGTGTGATCGGGCTTTTGCGTTTTGGTGACGGCGAGAGAGACAGAAAGAGAGAGAGAGAGAGAGAGATAACGTCGACCTCATTGCGACCGCGGGATGCAGCGAGGAGCCCAGCGAAATTCGAAGAATGTGCGCGATCGGCGAGTGAATGGAGAACATAAAGCGGAATAGCACTTTCCGTTCCCGAGAGCAGTTAAGCGAGTTTCACGAGTAAGAGAGGAAAGTTTTCCCGCGCGATAGTCTTCGCTTAAGGATGGATCACGGGACCTCGTCCTCGGAGCGGCGCGTCCCCGCGTGTGTTACGCCGCGCGTGCGAATATTCGTCGGCCGATACCGTCGCGAGATGCTCTGAGAGATCTTCACCGTGGGCTTTCCGAACCCTCCGTCAGGTTAACGAATCCTCGGCTGAGAACGACCTTTCCTCCGCTCTGAGCGGGAGCACTGATTATAGAAGGGACACCGGTGATTTATGGCAGAAAGAAGAGCCAGCGACGGGCTGCTCGAGGATGTGTGGAAAAAGCCCGAGTTAGACCGTCGTTCTACTCGTGTACCAACCGTGTTATCCCCGCGCATCGAATCTGGCGCGCATTACTCGACGTGATCGTTATCGACACGTATCGACACACAGCTTGTTCAACGGCGGCGCACGTAACGCGACATGGAGCTTCATTTAATTCTAACCGCGCCGCCGCCGTTCTGTAAGAAGCAAAGAACTATCTTAATCGGAGGATTAATCGCCTCGGCGGTCTAATCTGTCTTCGGATTACCGCTGTATCCCCGCGTTCTACGTAATACGCCCACTTATTCAGAACAGAGAAAAAAAGACTCGAGAGACTACCGGTCGAGCGCGCCACGCTGATTCGCACCGTGCGAACCGACGATCTTCGTCTTCGAAGCGGCAAGACGGAGCAGACGCTCATCGGTTGGAAAGAGAGAAAAGGGAAAAATCCGCGAGCGATCGGAGATATTCGGCGGGCCGATTATCGATCGAGAACTCTCGTCGGCGCACTCTCGACAAATCTCGCGGTCGATGGAACGCGGGCGACACGTGAGCGACCGATCGGCGTGTCCGTTCGCACCATGCTCGGTTCGCCGTGCACGACCGGTGCATTCCTGCGAGCGTCATTCACTGCGGTCGCGAGCCGCGTGCCTGGTCGTCCAGGAGAGTTGCCGTCGCGCGAGATAACTTCCGTCGACATGCCGTTTACGTCGACTCTCTTCGCATTTTTCGACGCGCGCCGTTTGCTGTGTCCCAGGTAGATACAACACTAAGCACTTTCCGGCTATCGGATCGGCCGCGCGATCTCTTCCCACAGCCCCTACACATACACCCTTTCTTCGCCCGCCTCGGCCGTCGTGCTCGCGATCGAGCGCGCTAAACAGGCGCGGATATAGACGGGATATAAAAATAGACGGCGACGACCCAAGATAGATGGGAGTTGCCGGAAGTTCGAGAAGTGTGACAGGATGAAACGATGAGGGAGGCGCGATCGCGACGGTGAAATACTGGACGCAACACTCGAGGAAGGGATAATACGCAGTGAGATAGTACGAGTACTCTCGCGCTTTAAGCCGCGCGCTCGGTAATTTTCACGGTGAATCCGGCTCGTCTGCTACAGCATCCCGAGGAACTTCGCGACGCGCGGTGGCATGAGGAAGCGTACGGACAGCACGTAGCGACTGGCCCTTCTCGCTTCGGAGATGCGGCGCTATCCACTGCATATCAACGTCGCCCTCACCGTCGTTCTACTGGCGACTCGTGCGATCGTCGTCGTGCGTGCCGGCGAACAAGGTAAACAGCGATTATTGACGCTCCTCCTGACGCCTCCTCACCGTCTGGCTGATTGCACCCTAGGCGAACGTGTAGTATATGCATACAAAGCGAAATCGGGGCTGACATGGAGTGATAAAAAATTGGAGAGGGAGAGAGAAACGGAAGTTTTTTGCCAGGTCCTCTCTTTCTGTAAAGCATGAGTACTCGTCGTTCGTTTGTTCGCGGTACTTTACGCGAGGTGTGGTTTCACGATCGGGAGATCGACGCGTATGAAGTAACGATCGTTAGAGAAATAATTGCTTGCGCTTTGTATTCCTGCAGGCTTTGTACTTTCCGCTTTTCGCCGGTGCACTTTGGAAATTGAATTGGAACGTTCGACGCTTTCGCATAATTTTGTTGCTGCCTTATATAGAGTTTACTGAGAGAGATACGACCGCAATTCTTATTCTTATATTTTCCTTCCGTGTTTATCGGAATACTTTGCGGAATACTATGCCGTGCATACGTGTATGTCATTCCACGTTAAATTATTTTCAATTTCCAGATAAGTAGAAATTGCATAGAAATTGAATCTTTTCGCGCTTCCGACGCCGAAGTGCGAACTCGGTACGCTCCAACTTTTACGAGTCGTGAATCTTATCTGATCAGATGTATCACACCTTGAGATTCATTATTATTTTTATTATTCGGAGAAATAGTGGCTTTTGTATAGAATATCGATTAGGAAACCGGTCTCACCGCGCGGAAGGCATCTTTTATCAGAAAATGGTTCCCCACCGGTCTGCAGGTGAATATAGTCCTGCGATTCTTAGCGGACACAATAGACGCGTACTATATCGTCGATTCGTTATCCTTGCATTTCCGATTCAGATGGTTTTCGGTATGCCTGCCAGAGTCGAATTTTTCTCTCGCCGCGACACTCGCCTTCGTAACGACTCGGCTCGTAACGGAACGTAAAGTAGAACGCTGCCAAACTGTCACAAACACTTCGTCGTCGTGAGCATCGCCATTTCTTAGCTGATACTTTTCAGTGTAACGAAAAACGTTAAATGGATAAACGAGAAGAAAATAAGAATGAGCGCGACCATCGTTTAATACGCATTAATCATCGCGGTAACGCATTATGACAGCTTTTACAATATTACAGCATACATTAACTGCTACAATGGGCAATAGTGATTTCGACCGGCTATTGTTATACCTACAATCATATGATGATACATTTCCCATGAGAAATGCAGTTTATGTAGAAATGACAACAAAGATGCTGCCTGTGTAGAGCTGATAATTACAACAGTTCTAATGGGTGCTACAAACAGAATTGTTGCCGTATGATTGGCCGTTTGATATCTATGTAAATCCAACTAGTGTATCATCGAAGTGCATAATCGAAATAATGCATCTCGCACAACCAATATCGCTAACGGCTCTTTGATGATTAACAACCATTTGCATTCATATAAGGACTCATATATTTTTATATATTATATATATTTATATATATTTTTAAATCTCAGTTCTATATCTTATAGCTAATTCACAATTAATATTAGCACTTTTCAAGTAATAGCATAAATAATCATTTAATTACCGAGATATAAGTGGCAAAGTCGGTGAATATCTCGTACTTTTTTTACAGGATGTTACTTTTGTCCTCTTGAGTTAATTGAGTTTATTGCAGCAATGAAAGTGGTTCTTGCTTCTGTATTAATTAAGATCATTGCCTTAGGCAAAATTAATGGGCGAATAAATGGTGTAAATGATATTTAAATTTATATGTGAACAAAATATCATTCTACATTATTCATTTCACACTTACGGCGCACAGCAATTTGATAAAAGAAACAGAGAGTTTGCGCAAGAAAACTTTTTATTTTTAATTTCAAGTACCATATCGTTCAGTAATGATAATGTTCCACCGGGATAACAGCGCTCTGTCAATTAATTGTTGCAACTGGAGGTTTAATGAACGTCACTTCGTCATCCTCGCATGCTAGGCTGTGTTCAGACGAGCCAGCTTAGTTTAGCGTATAATTTATGCATTCTGTACTATATAATGTGCGTGTGCAACTTGATCGAGCTTGCGTGGCGCTGTCGCTTAATAGAAAGCCCGAAGTATGTGTAATACGCTGTTTGATGTATTTTAATCAAATGCGAAATTTACGTTTCACCGTTGCGCGCTGATCGTTCCATTTACGCGGATGAAACTTTGACAGCGCAAAATGCTTTATTTTTCGGATCAGTGCGTAAAACTTTAATACGACCAAGGGCAAAATTTTAATTATATATCAATTTTGCAAATTCCATCGAACTTGAAGGATTAATAGAGAATCTACAGAGATATAATTTTTTATTGAGAACATAATTTACTACAGATTTGTATTCGTAAATTGTTAATGTGTTGTTTGGATCAATGTTTCTTGTTGTACGATATGAAGTACGGATAAAAGTTCACGAATAATAAGAAATTCAAGAAACTATAATTATTTGTTAAATAGCAATGAAAAACATTAACTATGAATGCCGGTATAAATTTCCACTCGGATATTTCTTTATTTCCGATTCATTAGAGGTCCATTAAAATTAGAAACCTTGTGTCTGATAATTGATTTTACACACCTGAAAATATAGGATGTATCGCTACATCCAGGTCCTGTATTTTTCGTCCTTGTTTCCTGGTTCAGTATCCTGGCTATTTCGTCGTGGAACTTTGCATATTCATATGTGGCACTGACACCCGCGTAGATACAATTTGATCGGATAAACGCGTGGTAATTAACTCGAGAGAACCTGATTAAATATTTCAAAAGACCGGTGAATCGTTTTAATTACCTGATGGGAAATGATAATAATCAATGCAGCGATATTCGTGCTCCGCGTCGTGGTACGCTCGTCGCTCATCGGCTTGGAACGTCATGATTTAGAAAATGTATGTATGCAAACACGAGAGTACCAAAGCAATGAGCGACACCGATAGGCGAAGTAATTCTCATTTCAACGTCAACTGTCATCACTCGTCACTGAATACAAGCGACCACACAATTAAAACATTCCTTTAAGGCAGTTAGTCTTACCTTCATGGGTCGCGTACTTTCCGAGTGTTTCCATTACGTTTCAAGCCAATGGGCGACACTTTCATCGCGTAGTACTTTCGTTCAATAGATATTTTTTTCAAACGGATGATTAAAATATTCCGACATCTTTGAAACGTTTAATCGGATTCTTATCAGCATCGAATTATTTAATAGGCATTTTTTCAATCGAATGATATCTAGTGTCGAGTGTCAGCACCAGTGTCAGTATTATGAATGAATATTTAAAGTGCTACGACGGAGCAGCTGGAAGCAATATGCCGGATTGAGATGTCAGGACGGAGGATTCAAGGACGTTGCGAGCGATAAATCATATCTACAGATGTGTAAAATTATTTATTACGCGGCATGTTTCCAATTTTAGCGTTTCATCGCAAATAAAACGAAATCCGAATCGAAATAAGGCTTTTTTTTTATATTCAACATAAAGAAAACGATAGTAAGTGACTAGCTTTTAAATTCAAGGTAGAACAATAATGTTTATACTGTTAAAGCTGGACATTTTTCATCGATCTTTTTCAAGTCCGCCAGAATTTGCAGGATTAATATAGAATTGAAATCTTGACTCGGGTAATCAGTTTTATGATGATTGTATCGTAATGAATTATTAGACTTACTATTATAGTAATTATTATGCGAAATGCGAGGAGAGTTTGTCGGATTAAAAGATTAAACAAAAGAAAGTTTGCTTGTTTGGCAAAATTATTCACAAGTCATAAAGTGTAATATGAATGCAAGTTTATTAAACACATCAAAAAGTTGAAATTTCTGGAAGCTTTCCGCGCTACACACGTATAAGTATGGAAAATTGTTACACGCAAAAAGATGTTTAGACTTTGTAAATATTCTTAAGCCCGACACAGCCTGCACGACGTCGTCCAAGTTTGATATCTAATAACAGTTTTCTTCGGAGATTTTCCGAGTTCTTAGTATGGAGCTGAAAGTTTTCACGTATCGGGGACACTTAATAAGTTGGGCGATAACACCCGAGACACTTGATTTGCAATTTAATATACGGCCGGTATGCAGCCACAATAGGTGGTGTACTTTCGTGGATCGAAAACTTGTTTATAAAATATTACGCGATGAAACTTCAAAATATCATTTTTACAGTATCCACTGGTGCGAATTTCAGCGAACAATTTCGCGTTATAGACAAATATGTATCTGTGTCGTTGTTTTTAATAGAACGATACACAGGCATGTATTGACGCGTAAATAGGTTAAATAGAAAAAGAAAATTGTTACCTGTTTTAACGTTGAATCGTCAATTAATTATGTGAGGGGATATTCCAATAACTCTGAAGCCGTAACGCAAGGATGATTTGCGAAGCGTTATAGTTTTAAAAGTAAAAAAATAACGGGGAGTAAAAGTTCATGTAGTTAATTATTTTCGAGCTGTTGATGCAGAACAAGGTAGAAAAATCAGCGGAAAATTAAAATATGTTAACGCACAGAAGACTCGATTCCCGGTTATAAAGATGTTTTCCTAATATTTAATGTATGTTAATTAACGATATGTTACTTTTCCTAATACTACTTTTGTGTTTTTTGTTAATTTCTTTAATGTTACTTTTCCTAATATCTAATGTATGTTAATTAACGTTGTGTTGAGCATATTAATTATAAAATAAACAGTAGTATGAACCAAAATACATATATCGGTGGTGTAGTATGTAATAATTGGAGCACATGAGAGATCTCGGTAGGTAGAGCATTTGTATATATAAACATGTAGATCAAACAGTGTGTGTTTACATGTAAGGCGTAGCACGTCCGTTCGACTATTGACAGTCCGTGGGGCGCCGCACATCGAATACTTAGCTGTTCTCATACTATATGAAGGTTAATTTATAGAAAATCTGATATTATGTTGTAGAATTATTTAATATTTGTAACAATTATATATATAAACCGCTATATTCA